TAGAGAGATCGAAGATGCAAAAATCGAATAGCCTTTATTTGATATAAAGGATCTTTTATAAGGGATCTTTTAAGGACTCGAATCAAAATAACTAAAGGTCCTTTAAAAGATCCTTTATATCAAAGAATCCTTTATATTAAATAAAAGATCTTTTAAGCTTTAAGGATTCGAATTTTGCATCTTCGAATTCTCTAATCAAGCCAAAATGATAAAATCCTTTAAAGGACCTTTTATTATTTTAGCTTGATTAAAGAGATCGAAGATGTAAAAATCGAGTATCCTTTATTTGATATAAAGGATCAAAAAATCTAAGGACTCGATTTCTTAAGGGCTAAAATAACAAAGTCTTTTAAAAGATCTTTTATATCAAAGGATCTTTTGTATGAAATAAAGGATCCTTTAAATATTTAATTTTTGCATCTTCGATCTCTCTAATCAAGTCAAAATGATAAAAGGTCCTTTGAATAATAAGCGAAGAAGTATATGAAATAAATTTTCTATTTGCCTAATTAAGATAGAATCCTTTAAAAAATCTTTTATTTTTTATTTGATATAAAGGATCAAAGGATCTTTTATATAAGATCCTTTGGGGTCTCGATTTCTTAAGGACTCAAACCAAAATAACAAAAGATCCTTTAAAAGATTCTTTACATCAAAGGATCCTTTACATCGAATAAAGGAGATCCTTTATATAAAAAAAAATGACTATATCTTAATTAGAAAATTTATAGTTTCTTCAAATGTTATTTTTTTTTATTAATTAGAAAAATACTAAATTAATTCCCAACAATTGTTACGTATCACATATACGATTCGAATAACGTGAGCCTCAGGATGGATTCGAGATAAAAATCAATTTATTGTTCAGAAAAGGAACGTTCTCCAGGCACTCTGGTAATGAGAGTCCCCTCTTAACGCGACTTCGCACAGTCGGGATATATTCGTAGCCCAATATAACTCGCGTTTACTCGCGTGATATAACGAAGCGTCGAATATTATGCGCGAGTACACACACACACAGACATACACACATTGTGCTCGCTCTTTCCACCTTCGTGTGAAAGCGCCATTCCGGCTGAGCGGCTTCGCGAGACACAGAAAGACGAGACTCGTTCACACGAGGGGTCACAGCTAGCCCCAAGGGAGCAGTCATTGACATTGGTGGAAGAGCGAGGTGGAGAAAGGAAAGAAGGTGAAAAAGAGAGAGACGGACTACAGTATCTCCATCGAGGAACGTGACTAATATGGCGTGTGTCTGTGTGTCCCCCATATAGTGTCTTTATACGTCGTCTTCTCTCCGATTTCTTCGTCGCGAAGGTAAATAGCCCTGATCTCTCGTTCGCATAAAACGACGATGAGGAGAGAAAGAGAGATACAAGAGGAAAATTAATTCCACCGGTTAATGTCAAGTCATGAATATAAGTCGAGAGTTTCCTCTCTGAGAAATTTCCCTCTCCAATCTCGCTTTTTTCCTTTCTTCGTCGAAGGAAATCTAATGCAGGATGATTGAAGAGGTGGAGAACCTGCTTATTGATTGACGCCACAATCGTGACATTACGAAATCATTTTTAATATATAATTTTACTTTTTCTTCTCTCTCGTCGTCGTCTCTCTACGGATCGAGCTCGGATAAACTTAATGAGAGAGTTTATCGATTAGGCTCGCGATCTCTTAGGATGTTTACTGCGTTAAGTGGAGGCGCGAAATAGCGATTTTCGATATTAACAATTAAAGGCCCGTAAGAGAGAGAGAGAGAGAGCATGAGATGTGTGGCAAGTCCGGAGGGTCGAAATTACACGTGCTGCACCTATGCTGTAATATTAGCAAATTACACGGCGGAGTTGCATTATAAACGAAGAGATGCAAGAATGTGTCTAATTACACGCTCGTTCCGCCACGAAGAGTCGCTTAAGCGGAAGATTATCCGCTGTTGAAACTCCGTGAAATGCTCGAGAAAGAAAATACACGTGTGTGTCGTTCTTGTTACACATTCACCACTGATCCAATAATTCTATTGACATAATAATTTATCGATATCTTGTATCGATAGAATTGAAAAATAAAATTCTTCAATACCCGTGTCTTCGTAAAATTTAAATTAAAAGTTTGAACTTTTAAAATTGCAAAATTTAAAGTTGTTCTCTATACCTTCTAAATGATTAAATATAAACTCCTTCTTCAAAGATTTGCTCAACATTATTTGTAAATGATTCTACGTTTCGCAACAATCACGATTTTGTACAGTCATTCGTGCAACAGGTGCATGACATGTGGATTCGATCTTTCATCACACCTCCCGATAGCGAGTACCTGAATATAAATCACGAATTTGCGAATTACTTACAAACATTAAACATTCGGAAAAACATCAACAAACTGTCTTAAAAAATAAAAATAAATTAAATTAAAATTAATTAAACTTTGAAAAAATAAATTATTTTTACTTGAAAAAATAAATTATTTGTCATTTTTTGCGCACACATTACATCTCTCTCGAAAAAATTAAATTCCGCGTATGAAAAAAATATAATTAACCGTTCTCTATCAGACTTGTCATATAAACATTGCCACGATTAATACTACGCATTCTACTTTTAGCGTGAGAAATTAAGATCGTAACTTGGTGGCAGATAACGATTCATATTTGCCGAGGCAAGTAACGGAAAGGAATAAATACATTCATAATCCGCTTCGCGAATAGAGCAAAGCGAACGAGATACTTTGCTTAGACGACAGAGCAATTCCGGATAACGTCGAAACTGGTTTTGCGAGAATGACGGCGATTTGACGACGGTATTCGACAGTTGCTGTCAAGTTGACTGCCTGTTCATCAGACTTTACTGCTACGATAACAAGTAGAAAGTGTAACGCAAATAGCGCTGATAAAGCGCTTACGTTGCAAGATGTGCGAGTAAATAAAAATAAAAATTGAAATCATAATCGAATCGATTCAGTTTCAGCTGAAGACAATTTGGTCGCAGATTTTTTAAATGCCAATCCTGTGGTTTACAAAATTACAGAGCATTTCTATATTTCTATCGATTTTCATTATTCTTCTAATTAAAAAAGACGATTTGGAAAAGAGAAGCAATCTTTTTAAAATAAAAGACATTTTGAAAATATTTTAATACACGTATCTTTAAAATTGTTATTAAAAAAAGATTAGATAAAAATTTTTTATATTCCATGATTTATAAAAACAGAAAAATTAATTTATTAAATTTTTATAAAAATAATTGACATAAGATTGCGAATTTTTTCGCAATTTTTTTTTTTTTTTTTAGATTGGAGCAAAGTGCTGAAAAACGAAGTATTTTATAACATGTAATATAATGCATTCACCAAAAACGTAATAAGTGTACAAAACGATTCATATGCAAATTAGCAATAGCTAATTAATTGATCAAAAGATTTTCGAATAAGATAAATTTCGTGCAAATGCAATGCTAAAATATTTCATTTACATATATATCAAAAGAACAGATTCAATGATGATTGCGTGCCAAATTAAGAAGACATTCCCCCAATTACGAAATTGTAAGTAAATATAAAAATATGGCACAAATATATATAGCAAAAATCATTAAGTAATAATAAGTCACAGAAAAGATATAAATAAATAAATTGAAATATCACATATACACATATTACATTGAACAGAAATTATACATTGCGTTCTTTTGAGAATGAAAAAAGGAAAATAAAAAATAAAAAAGATAACATATAATCATCCTATCAATCATCTGAATAACTCATCTTCAAACATAAATAAATCTATCGTGCTAATAAATATCTCGCGCTAAGGAATGCGGTTTCCTCCCGTTTATCCGTTATGAAATTTTTCCACGCTTAGTCGTTTTTTCTCTTCATTTTATTCGAGTCAAAAATTCCTGCTGCTCTTAACAACCCACCATTTATCTGCAATATGAAACGCATGATCAGATGTCCGAATATGACACGACTGTTACTCCCAACGAGCACCTTCACCAGCGTCAAATATTTTGACCGACTATACTCCAATTTAATTAAAAATATGTCTAAAAATCATGTGCAAAGACGCATATCTAAAATGTATAATTTTCTTTTAAATAATTTTTAGATACATCTCTTAATTGTTTTTACAATATAATTTGATTTTAAAGAATAATTTTTAGAGACATTTATAATAAAAGAGAGAACATAGATGAATATTAATTTTTATCTTACGATATATATTGTAAAATAAAAATTAATATTCACCCACGTTTTTTTATTGCATAAATATCTAAAAATTATTCTTTAAATTAATTTTTTCCGAGTATGTTTTTACTTATTTAAATTATATTGGAAAACAGCTGAACTGTGTCTAAAGTGTCTAAAATGCTTCTTCTTTTGAAATCATCTTTTCAGCTAGAAGAAATAATAATGAAATACTGTCATTTTATCACCATAGGAATGATATTTAAAAAATCTGTGACTTAATTTTCTTCTTCAGCTGAATTTACATAATCGAATCGATTCGTCTTATATTATATATAATATTTACAATTTTTTCTATCTTACTGCAAAGTGAACGAGAAGCCCTATAGTTTTATCGTAATTTTCACCATAAAAAAATATGAAACCGGTTACTTGAACCAGCCGATAGCTACTAAAACTGCAGCCTATCTACAGGATCTAATTTTTCTGACAATCCTTAAATGTCTTCCAGCTTTCTCTTCTCAGACTTGGAGGATTTAAAAATTTCAGATTGACATTTTAAAGATATACCTACGTTATTTAATTCGTCATATATTTTTTACTCTCGAAAAACCAAGAAATGTGTAGGAATTTTCAAGACTAAAAGACGCATGCAATCACCGTAACAAATCTTCGCTCGATAACCTTCGTCCACTTATCCTTGAAACCCTGTACACCATATTTCATCGATTCCCGACTCGGGGAAAGGCCCTTCACCGCGCGAAGAATGCACAAGCCGAAAAATAAATCTTAAGGGAGAGAGAAAGATAGCACGAAATTACCTCTGGTCTTCATCAGCTCCCTGCTGCACGATGTGGACCACATCCGTCGTGGACATCCTTTCGACACTCGCCACGCGCACCCGACGATCACCGATGGCACATTCTGTCGTTTTCTCACCGTCAAACCCTTATTGGATTCGAAGAATTTCCTTCCCAAGACGAATTCGCGAGTGTCTCCTTCACGCACGTGTGTTTGCCAGGCCAGGCCGGGTTAAACGCCTGGTGTCCAGTCTGGCTGGCGCCCGTCAAGGCTACCGGAGCCACCAAGAGAGAAAAAGAGAAAGACACAAAGAGGTAGCGAGCGAAAGAGCGATTCCTTTAAGGGGTTCGCTCTTGATCCACGAGGCCAGAATCCTGGTTCTGGTCTAACTCCAGGACGACGATGCCGCAGATGGGTGCAGGAGGTGGAAGCAGAAGAAGAGACACCACGAGGAGCCACGCACACCACACACGACTGGCGAACACCACCTCACTGACTGAGGTAGTCCCCGGACGAGTGTCGCGCTGCGGCTGCTCGTCGCTCTTACCTGTGCACGCGCACGCACGTACAGATATCTTTTTTCACCTGCCTGGGCTACGTGTGAGCACGTATCTGTGTATGTGTGGGTCGCCTGTAAACTGGTGCGGCGTGTTCTTTGCATGCTGCCCGTTTATGTGAAAGGTGTGTTGTGGGTGAGTGTGTAACTCTGTGTGTGTGTGCCTGCCGTATTCTTTTCCTTCTACCTGCCTGCACGCATACACGTACGAAAGGTTTGGGTGTGTGCGGAGAACTGGCATAGCATGTTTCTCGCCTCTGTATGCGTTTGTGTGGAACGTTGTCTGTCTGTCTTCTCTCTATCTGTCTATCTAATGCGCAAACATTTTTATAACGTTTCGGCTAATAAACGTCTCATTAGATTTTACTGAGCTCTTACGTGTGATTTTTTTTAATTGAACATATATCCAAAAGATGTTCGGAGAACATCCTGAGGATGTTGGGATGTTGCGCTGTTAGGGTAAAAATTCTTTTTATACTCATTAGATATGAAATTCAGAAATGCGTTTAATTGAATTTTAATTTAATATTTTTTTATTGGATTTATAATCCCTCGGATATCTGGGGATGTCCAATCTCGTCGTACAACACTTCGCAAGACACGAATAGATGATACGATATTTTTGCATGTAGCGGTGCCGCGTGTTCTTTTCCTTTATTTGCAGACGATAATACGATACTTGATCGTATGTATTTATGTATGTATGTATGTATGTATGTAAGTACTGGTGCGCCATGTTCTCTTCCTTCTCTCTTATATATACACAGACAAACATACATAGAATTCTTTCGATTGTGTGTGTAAAAACGTGCATTTGTGTGACGTCGTTTTACCTGTTCCATTGGTATCGAAGAGAGGTCACGTGTATATAAGTATATGTATGTGTGAGCGTACCGTATAATGTGAGGGATCAGTGATGTATGACGGAATTGGACATCCTGAGAAATCCCAGGAATTTTATCAAGACAATATTAAAATAAAATGAAAAATATACTTCTTCAGTGAATTTAATTCATCGTTCTTCATGGAGTTTAATTTTCTAATAATACTACGTAAAGAATTTTTAATTGAAAAGAAATCTCGTATATCCGAGCAAGAAGATTTAATAAGACATTAGCTCTAAAAGGCTATAAAAATTTTATAATAAAATTTTTTTAATGCATTTTTCATTAACAGATTTTTTCCTTAAATTCATTAGAATTTGATTGTTTATTTTCCATTAAAAATTAATTAATGTAACTCACAAATTGTCATCCTTCCTGATCTGATATCCCGACGATATATAAGTTGCATCGATGATCGCGTTCGTGACGTCAATGTATCATGGAGTTATTCGCTTTTTTCCTACGAAACGCCTGGAGGCGAATATTAGAATAATTTGAATAACTGCCAGAGGAAAAGCGAGCAATGTCACAGGAAATAATATCTAACTACGCGTTTCCATCGAGCCTGCGGTCAATGTTATTGCTGTAATTTCCCTCGTGATTCACCCGCATATATATATAAAACTATATATATTATATATTGTTCTATAACATCAATAAAATACCTTGAAAATAAAATCATGGTAATCGTGGGACAATATAGTAGTGGAAAAATTTTTATAAGAGTTTCTCTGATATTTACTACAATGAAAAATATTAATATCTACCACAATAAGATATAAAAAATATGTTCGATTAATTTTACTATATATATATATATATATATATATATATATATATATAGTAAAATTTATTATGTATACATATTAATATTTTTTATTTTGGTAAATATTAATCAGAGAAATTTTTATAAAATTCTTGTAACACCATATTGTCCTATGATTACCATGATTTTCATAAATTCTAACAAAAGAGAAGATTCTCTTTGCGAAATTATTTTTCATAACTTTTTTTGCAATAAATGACAAATTAAATACGATAAATACATAGCACGGAAACGTTAAGTAAAAATGATGAAAATTATATTTTGACAATTCTTTTGAAATTATCTCTTGCCACTATCGAATGTCTCTTTTTATCTTAATTGTTTCTTTAAAATGATTTTCACGTCCACGACATTTATTGAACGCACTATTCCTGACAGACACGTGTATAATAGTATACAAGTATATACATCGATCGTTCGGTACTTTCGGTTTCCTCTCGTTTTGCGATCTCGCGGAGTCGCAGCCCGGTTCTGCGATTTCTCTCTCCCTTTCGATTCGAGCGCGGAAATGCATCTTGCATCTATCTAGAAGAACTACAACGAAAATTCGAAAGGACGCGGAAGGCGCTGTTACCTGTTGCGTTTTACTTGCAAATCGCGTGCAACGATTGCAGGAAGGCAAATGCATCGCGTGAGACACAATGCATATATGTATCGGTAAGTAGTTGGGTGCATTAGTGCATATTGATGCACGCTAACAAACGTCATATACAAATTTATGCAAGTGCATAAGTACGCAAATAAATATCCTTCTCTCTCTCTCCCTCTGCTATGAAATATATTTGCCTTTTAAAATAATCGATCATCTTTCCTCTTTCTATAAAATTCTATGATGAAATCTATCAGTCAATTCAAAAACTGATAAAAATTTAGAAATATAAACTCTTTCTATAAAATTCTATGATGAAATCTATCAGTCAATTCAAAAACTGATGAAAATTTAGAAATATAAATGCATAGATAACAAATGTATAAAATAATGCATTCGCGCATTATTTTAAAAAAATTCCTGAAAAGAATAATTGTTTTTTTTAATAATTCGAGTTATTGGATTTATATGTGTGCGTATAAATATGAGTTCGCAGAGTTGCTTTCTAAATTCTATTCACGCATCTTCTGTGAATTGTAAAGCAATCACGTGAAGTGCATTCAATCGTAAGCGAGTGCAGAGACCTCGGATTTTATAGATTTGTTTTTTTAACGATGTACTTTTTTTAACGATGCTATTATTCCGACGAGCAAATTTACATTTTAATGCACTCACTACGTCATTGCACTAACATTAAAAAAATAATAGATTCGTATGAATTTTATATATTTATATATATCATTTTATATTTATACACTGCATAAAATATTTATAAGAGTTTTTCTGATTAAATATTTACCACGATAAAAAATATTAATATGTACATAGTAAATTTTACTATACATAGTAAAATTAATCAAATATATTTTATTGTTAGTGTGGTAGATATTAATATTTTTATTGTGGTAAATGTTAATCAGAGAAATTTTTATAAAATTTGTCCAATTCCATATTATTCCACGATTACCATTATTTTCATAAGAGAAAATTGTCTCTGTATATTTTTTTTAAATCAAATATGTTTTGTTAGATTTAATGTTATATTTAATTTAAATTATTTTTATGTGTTCAATTAACAAAATATTATTTAACAAATCAAATATAGTAGGCCAACTGAACGAGCAAATAAATAAGGTGTAAAAATTTTTATTAATAGTTAAATAATTAAATTAACATTCCGTTACAGAATCGATATAAATATAAAAAACTTTTACGTATTGATAAAGACTGTAGTGCAGTCGAAACGTTTACAATTTATATCAATTCTGTAACGGAATGTTAATTTAATTATTTAACTATTAATAAAAATTTTTACACCTTATTTATTTGCTCGTTCAGTTGGCCTACTATATTTGATTTGTTTAATTTCGTTAATTTATACGAGCCTTTCATTAATTAATTAAAATATTATTTAATCGAGTCAACAATTTTTTTCAGTGTGTGTATATATATATATATATAATATATATTTATTATTTTATATAAAATTAATACGATTTTTTTCAATCTATAAAAAAATTAATATTAGCAATTTAACATACAATAAAAATGTAACAAAAAATTCCTTTTTCTTACATTTACATCATATGTCAAATAGCTATTAATAATTTAATATTTTTTATTAATAATTTATATATTATATATATATATATATATTTATATATGTATATATAATAAAATATATTAAATTATTAATTATAATTAATATATATTAATATACAATTATAAAATATATATATATTATAATTATATATTAACATATGTATATTAAATCTCTTCAGAAATTTAAAAAGCACAAACTCTAAGAAAAAAAAAGAAAAGACAGCAATTACGGATTACGACGATAATAACGATGAGAGCATCGACAATTTTCTTCAATAGAAAGATATAATAGTCACAGCTAGCATACGATTCTTTCATACATTGCAAAGCACATAGTTCGTCAAAATACTATATATTTACAAATCGTACGTCAGCTAACAACCGCGAAGGTCGGCTCTCATAACAATAAACATGGCTGCTTTTATTTTTCTCTAGTCAAATAAATATGTGTACGCAATTGAATATATATTATATATGATTGCGATTTGTTGAAAATTATGTAAAAAATGTTACAAAATGATCAACAAGTGCTCAAAAATGATTAATAATCAATTATATATAGAAACTCTCGTTTCTTGTCATTTAAATTATATACATATTCAATTTCCAAATGTTAGCATTCTCGAAAATCCAGAATATTACGAGAGTTAGAAAAATAAATTGTTCTCCCTTCTTGAGATTTTTTCTCATAAATTCGGAAGGGTCCATTTTTGAAATACTTACATGATCTTCAGCATGTCTCTTCTTCGAATGTCTTTCACTCTCTGGAGATCTCCGAGTGATCCCTCCAGGTATGCTTTCGCTTTCTGTCGTTCCATCGAGATCATGCTGCATTGTAGAGATGATTTTAATAGACGAAATCACTTGAGTCGCAACTTTTTCGTCGAAAAATCAGGAGTATCCGCGGACCGTCGAGCGTCACGTTCAATGTTACACTGAAGAATGTTGATATGCTTGTGATTGGTGCGCTCTTCCCGCGGCGGTAAACATGTCGGAATGCGCGCGCAAAACATTCCATTTGAATCTTATATTCTATCTAATCGCAGCGCACAGTGCGAATAGCTGATTTAGTTAGTATAAAACATTTTCCGCATGCATACATTTTATGAGAAAAAAATCTATTTTAACGTCACATATATATATAATTAATATACATATGTTAATATATAATTATAATATATATATATATTTTTTATAATTGTATATTAATATATTAATTATAATTAATAATTTAATATATTTTATTATATATACATATATAAATATATATATAATATATAAATTATTAATAAAAATTGTTAATAATTAATATATATTAATGTATGATCATACTATTTATATTATAATATTATAAACAATATATTATAAATTTTTATGATTAATGATTTATGTATTAATTATAATTATATATTAATATGATTAATTTTAATATTATAAAGACATTTAATATAATAAATTTTACTATTATAAAGACATAATTCGAAAAGAATAGTTTCGAGACATGATAATGTATTCTTTTATTTGTATGGATTTCTTAATCAATTTGGATTTGATTTTTTTGTTCTTAGAAAGTAATTTTACAAATGTTTCTTGTTATCAATTCCAAATTGATAAATCGAGAAATCTATAGGCAAGAGATAATATAATTATTTAGGATAATTTTTAGGATATACCTTGTATGTATATTCCTTGTAGAAATTTCGATGTGAGGAACGAGAAATCACAATCGTATATATCTTTTTATTACAGAGTGTATAATTTAAATGGATAATCTTATGTCGCTGCTGCAGTTACGATTCAATGGAAGATCCTTTAATGCAGTTGAATAGGATATACACACTGTATCGAAGTCACATGCAGTAAACAGTCTTTTAGAAACAATTTATACGTATATATTCACATTTCACAGTTTATTTCAAAGCTCGAATGAATTATTTCATTCTCGATGAAGCTCCGCAGTCGTACTGTTTGTATAATATCGATATCGTATTCGTGAAATGATAAACGAGTTATCGCAATATCGTATATCCATTTTTATATCTTGAATAGCGGAGCTCAAATTCAAATGGCATCACGATAATTCGAGATCTTATTCAGTGCAGAATCGAGTCCCTTGCAATAATGCGAAGAGAATCGTTTCTCTAGTAGTATAAAGAAAAGAACAGTATAAAGAGTTGAGTTGTGTGAATTTATATGATATTTTGAAAATTTCAAAATTTGAAATGGTTCTGCTACAATAAATATTGAAATTTGTACGCGTTCTTTTCGTAACAATTTCCATTCTTAAATATTAATCTTGCCGTTTATCGTGTCCGAAACATGGTACATGGTAGTCGTCAAAATTCCCTGATTGAATTCATCACGATAATATACACCGAACTGTACTTTCCTGACGATGGACGATCGTACGTTTAATAGTAAAAGCACGAGACACACGTAGACGTAGATTATAAAATTGACATTTGTCACGAAATGATGTCAGGATATTGCAAATGTACATGCTCCGGAGAAATTTTCCTCTTCTTTCCTCCTTTTTTTTACACATGTTAATCGTGAATGCCACATAATCGCGGAATTCGCGAGAAAATTTCTTAATAATTAATTTTGCGAGGAGACGTAAGTCTTAGATGCAAAATAAACTGAGCCGGGCATTTTGAATGCGATGTAAACGAAAAAAATGCAAATAAGATTCAAATTTAAATCAAATGTTTGAATTTAAGAATTGACTTCTAATGAATTTATTGTGTAGTTTACATTATTTTCAAAATGAGCGGCAATTCTTCATTGTAAGTTTGCGACACGCACATGAAACTTATTTTCACCTCGCATATATACGGTGTTTTATATAAAGAGACGCGTTCCCTTTTCATCCAATAGCTTATGTTTTCTTTCTATATATCTTTTCTTTCTCGCAAAAATATGTATCTGCTCTTAACACCAGTTTTATTTGTAACACGAATATTTAAAACCTTTTTTTTCAAATCACGATTTTTTTCTTATCAAGTAAGAAAGTGGACTTGCGATTAATTTCACCAACTCCTTCAAAATTTGTTAATATATGCTATATTAATAATGTTAAATCAAAATTAATAAAAAATATATATAATAATATATTATATATAATTCAAGAAACTTTAGTGATAATTCTCTTATATTAGTAAAATAAAGAGATGCATTCTGGTCAAAAATATAATAACTTATCTTTCTTAATAGATTAATGAAACTGATTAGTGTGAGGAGAAAGAGTTTTAGAATCTCAAATCTCAATATTTAAGAATAATGGAGAAAATGGAAACTTTTATCTTGCATTCTGAACTGAATAGTTTAGAATGAATAGAAAGGGCCAAAGTCCAATAGCTTTCTTCCTTTCAGTTCCAAATTGAAAGGATTCAGCACGTTGACCGATTGCTGGATTATCACGGTGTGCTGAATCGTTTAATCTATCTACGTTAACGCGCTGCGAGAAAATCTCTAAGATAAAATATCGCGTCGACTAAAACCAGAATCCGCACGTTAAAAGTGAAGAAAAGGGTGCGACTGCGATTATCGCGATTCCGCCTTCGTTTTTGGCGGCCTAAAGGCCTTCAGCTTCTTCGCTTTTTTTTGCTTTGTGGCACTACTACCGGACTGAAACGCTTTCCAGCTATCGACACGTGATTGTCTCGATTCTTCAAAGTTTCGTTGCCATTCGCGTTCTAACGCCGCTTGAGCTTCTGCTGATAATTCCTCTTCGCGCTTTCTCTTGCGCTGTTCTGCGTCTCTCGTGGCTAATTCACGTCTGCAAAATAAAATGATCATTTTAAATTTATTAATTTTTGTATAAAATATCTAGTGGTATAGCATCTATTTTAATTTATCTATAAGAAAAAAATTAATTTAATATTTTTATGTATTTCTTTTTTCTGCTTAAAATAAAGATTGTAAACTGACCTTCTTCGCTCCATATCAGCAAACAACTTCATTGTCATAACCCAGACTGCATGTCTGTAACCTTCCTCAGTTTCTTCTTCCAAGAGTGTTGGAGTTGAATTCTCTGATTTTCCTTCTTTTTTCAATTTTTTCTTCTTTTCTGCAATCTTTAAAATGCAATTTTATATATCATATAAAAATAATAAAGCATATGTTTACGTAACAGTCACTTAAAAAAAATTAAAAATATAATGAATAATTAGATACTTGCCATGTGATCAGTCCGAGCCTTTGCTTCTTCAATGACGTCCATACATTTCGATCTGGTTTCTTCATTTTCCAAAGTTTTCCATGCCTTATTAACAACTGTAATTAACGAGATATTTTGTTACATATTTATTATATTATAATACCTTATATCTTTTATTATTACACTTACTTTCAAAAGCTTGTTGCGCTCTCTCCGCATCATCCTGATTTTTATCAGGATGTACCAAAATTGACATCTATAATAAAAATCACAACATTAGACTGTATTACTTATTTATCATTAGACAAAAAAAAAAGATAGATATACTTACACGACGGTATTTCTTTTTGATTTCATCTATTGCTGTGCTTGGATCAATCTGTAACACTTCAAATGGATTCAAATTGAAATAGGATGACCCAGGTCGTAATAATCTATCAATTTGTTGTTTAGGCGTCAGCACAGAATCTCTTTTCTCGATTTCTTTCACCTATAGAAAAAACAACAAAATTTTGTTACGATTATAAGTATAGAATTTTAATTAAATCTACATAATTGCTAAAAAACAAGAAAACACAACTATAATAATATTGTTATTGTAATCAAATATTATTGAAAATTTTATGATATAATGTAATGTAACAAATTATTAATATAGTAGATATAATTTATTTATATATATTAATTAAATATAATTTATAGTAGATATATTTATCAATCTTATTCAGCAATTTGTGAAAAATTTGTTTCGATAACATTCAATACGTATATGTCACATAAATTAAGAAATACAATTCTTATACTAAAAGAAAATAAAGGAAATATAGTTATGACTATTTATAAGCTGTTTTTTTTGCAAATAGACACGAATAATAATCAAACTTAATAAATATAACTATATTATCAGCACACTGTCATATTTAGCTCCAATATAGAAATAATATAGAAAATGCAGTTGCGAGCTGAATAGCTATATTAAAGAAAATTATTAAAATATACAGTACATAAATAAGATGAAAATAGATGAACTGTAACGATACTCAGTAATAAGTTTCGTAAAATACGACCTTTAATAATGAAATACTCTGTATGCTCAAACAAAACATTGGGAAATTTCAACACAAACACTGTTTGTACAGGTTAGGAGCATTAAACATGAAATTTCACGTTTGCAGCAACGATATTGTTTGCAATATTCAATATAATTGTGTAAATCGAATTTAAACGACCAGGTTGAGACACAAATTACCTGTCAAAAAGTCTCTCGTCAGTTCATCGCTAGTACAAAGCGACATTTGTCGGAGTCGCTACCCCGAATTTATTTACGACTATTCACGAACAAAAGGTCTGGTATTATTTCGTCGGCAGCGTTGTGTGCAAAAAGATAACGGGATCAACGGGAACTCGCATACCTCTGTGTAAAATTCGTTGAATTCATCCTCCTTCTTGGCGGGATTTTCACTAGATAAACTGGAGTCGGTGGCGGCCATCTTACTTCTACTATGCCCGAAAATCGACGGTGCTGCCGACTGGTGACAGATCGCGACTTTATCGGCGCGGTCGGTCAATCATTTTCAAATTACTTTATCGACGGTCGAAAAAATAGGGAACTTACAATTGGTCATCTTTGATTATAAATTTCTAATTAGAATCTTCAAAATGACAGATGACAGATCTAAAGAATATAAATGAAAGAAGTGAAACTTTTTTCTCAATCTTCCATTTTTGTACATTAAATCGCAAGTTCGACGTCTAAAAATTGCAATAAATATGTTCCGTTATTTAAATATATAAAAATGACAGATGACAGATCTAAAGAATATAAATGAGAGAAGTGAAACTTTTTTCTCAATCTTCCATTTTTGTACATTAAATCGCAAGTTCGACGTCTAAAAATTGCAATAAATATGTTTCGTTATTTGAATATATAAAAATGACAGATGACAGATCTAAAGAATATAAATGAGAGAAATGAAACTTTTTTCAATCTTCCATTTTTATACATCAAATCGCAAGTTCGACGTCTAAAAATTGCAATAAATATGTTTCGTTATTTAAATATATAAAAATCTCTAATTCTAAAACAGAATGATAATTATACCCAGGTAGCAAGCTGACGTCACTCGACGTCAAAATAACGTCATTTTGACGTTTAATATGACGTCAGTTCGCTACCTGAGTAATTGATGAAAGTGGATAAAGTACGAGAAAAAGAAGGTATTTCATTCTCTTAAGATTTTGAAGGACGATAGAGAAAGCGCAATTAAAGACGTCGGCGTTTTCAATGTAAAATTTCGTAATATTTTATTAACAAAGCTTAACAGCCAATAAACGAGTAATACCTCTTTCGCGATAACAAAGACACATCAAACGAAATCAGATTATTATTGCGGCATACACTTCCGTCAAACTGATTGATTGACTAGGATATCTAATATAGTCGGTGTAACTAGGCTATATAACATACAATATATCGCTACTCACTATATATCCCTCCGCCGGGAAACTCACAGATGCGATTAATAAGAGGGAGGAATCGGTGGAATTACGCATAGTGTAACGTTCTATGACATCTAGCACTTGTTTACGTCTCTCGCCATCTAATCTAGCATGGCATCTAAATCTAATCGTTTACTATCAAACCACTTGTGTTCAGACATAAAGACGTTACTCTCGTCGAATCGCGAGAACCGCATTAATAAATAGAGATCAGAACCGCTCTGTATCCTCCAAAGGATTTAACTTTCCAGATTAGTTATCCCCGAAGGATTTGCCAAGAAAATGGAAACTCATGATTGAACACATTATAAATGGATTTACAAAACTTTGCGGAAGACAAAAGTGCTATTTCTTACAAATATATATATATATATATATATATATAATATTATAGTTTAATATATATATATATATATATATATATAAAACTATAATATTAATATAATAGTTTAATATATATATATATTATATATACATATATATATATATATATATATATATATATATATATACTTCGAACAATTAATTTCAGCTTATCACGTTTCTTCTTCCTTATCTGCGTAGAGATTTGAACATGAAGAGACATAAGTTTTCATAAAACATGAATAATCAAAGTGCGGTCCTCGCAATTCTCTATCTCCGTAACGAAACATATAACATATTCACAACAATGTTAATTTTCTTGCACGTGATTATATACTACTAGCGATTAATGGTATCAACAATTGAAATAGGAAAAGCGTGTGCTCGTAACAACGATTACTCTCTAATTCATTGAAAATCCAATCGATTCGGAAAGGCGCACGTATAATATAAATCGTACGGAATCGCGTCTCAGCTATTCAACGTTTTCAAATATTTTAGGATTATTTATCAATTAAAATTATTACTATATGTATTATAAATTACTTATTATAAATATAATATAAATTATATATACTAATTATAACTATAAAGATAAAAAGTGGAAGAAAAAAATTACTATCGAATATTATAATTTTATTATAATAATATTATCATTAATTTCAATAAAAATATATAAAATTGTAAAATAAATTTTTGAAAAATTTTCTGTATAGGAAAAAAAAAAACATCTTTTTTAATGAATTGGAGATTAAGAAACTTCAAACTTTTGTGTTATTTTGTGACTGCGTCTCGTTGAATTGCAGGTTTGCGATGTCGACGATGTTTATTACAGCGCATATTTTACAAAGTACGCAAAAGCTAGCTGAACTAACGGTATTTCTATACATTTCTATACATCGAGTTTCTAAGTAAAAGAGGTCATTTCACGTCGTTGAAACTAACAATGAATGCATACGTAGAATGACTGTGATCTTATGTTAAATCTTATGTAAGATGTTTCGCCATGAATAAGAAAAATTCTCCGAATTCTTATTTATAATTCTAGACTGCAAAATATCCATAGAATTTTATTAAACCTGATAAAATATCTCAATTTCTCACAATAGAAAACTCTAGTTTTGAAAAAAAAAAAAAATTAAAATATAAAATACTCTAATTGTGTTTTTTTTTACATAGAGAGAACTCTTTATATATATTTAATTTAATTTTCCAGAAAATAAATCTATAGAATTTTATTAAATCTGATAAAAAATCTCAATTTCTCACAATAGAAAAAACTCTAGTTATGAAAAAAAAAATTAAAATATAAAATACTCTAATTGTGTTTTTTTTTTTTTTTTTTTTTTTTTTACATAGAGAGAACTCTTTATATATATTTAATTTAATTTTTCAGAAAATAAATCTCGTCAGTTTATTTTTCGTACAATGTTCTTATTCAGAGCAAGACATTCTGCATAAATGTTTCGTCGCAAAAGAACTAAACAGTCTCAAAGAACATCGGTCTCTTCAGGGTCTTTTTTTGTGTAAACTCGGCCACGAAGAATTTGCCAAAATATATTTCTTCGTAAAAATGTTACATCTATATGTATATATAATATATATATATATATATATATATATATATATATATATATATATATATATGATTTATCGATATGCAACCGAAGCGCTTACGCATCGATAGAAAGCGGATATACGTGTATGTGTCCGCGGTTTGTGTAGAAGAGAGCGGATTAAAACGTTACAGGTTTTTTCTCTTGTATGAACATGCATTTCGCACGAGAGAGCGTACATGATTACACAAAGAGAGAAAGGGAAAGACGGAGAAAGAGAGACAATGGTAATGCGATGATTATAGACAAATAGATATTGGTCGAGAATATCATCTGTGAATTCGCAAACACCTTTAATTAAGAGCGACAACGAGATCGAGAGAAAGTCGAGTTTCCTCGCAAATCCATCGGATTTCTCGCGATTAACATTATTGTAAACTTATTCATATTTAATCGTTAATAGTCCTTCGATCTCGCTCTATGATCATTATATTTTACTAATATACGTATATGTCACTACAAATATATTTCTTCACTAATTTCAAAAATTGAAATTTTATATCAAAAGATCGTAATGTATTAATTATCATCCATTGCGTAATATAAAATGTCGAGATAGAATTAATTCATGTTGTCAAAAAAAAATAATTAATAAATAGATCGTATAAAAAATTAATATAAATATATGCGATAAAAATTTTTTTATAAAATACAAACGATATTGCATTTACATAGAATTAGACCAATATTGCGAAAAGATCGAAGGCCCCATTAAGAATGAGATATCTCGTTATAATACTAGTACAATTATGGAAATCTACCATATACACGCTCTTTTAAAACACATTCGGTAGATCTCTCGTATCTGACACTTGTATACTGCTCGTTATTTCTATACTTAGACGATAAGTGGCTATTTTCGCTGAAGTGATCTTTATATAGCACTGTAGATCGTATATATTCATAGCTATTTGCGTGTAACATTTTTCTTAATATATATATATATATATATATATCTTCAAGCTCATATTCAAGTTCTCTTCGTGCATCTCTATAATAATTGTTGTATTTGTTCCAAAACCATTGACGCAACATAATTCTGCAATTAAGGAAATTTAACAGGATCGAGCAAAATTATAAATTAGATTATTCGTCGTATTTAACATTCTAAATCGGGGTAGTGATCAAGTTTGATAACGATCAGTTCAGCGAACGAGAGCACCGCTCCTTGTACTTACAGCCAGCACTCTATAAAAATGTGACAGAAAACATACACGTACACACACACACACACACGCGCACCCACATGCTTACACACGTATAAACTTTCAAAATCTATTTGGCACTCTCCTAGTTTCGTCGAAAAGGCGAGCACGCTTGCTATTTATTCTTCAATTCAGAGACATTGCATATCGAGTAGTAGCTTTACTCCGTCGCTACACATACGATTTTTAGCGTTATGCTAAATATATATATATATGTGTATATATCTTATAGGTTCACACCTTATACGTTATTACGGTAATTGGTCTAAGAAAGTTCCCGGTTTGCATAAAAAATATCAGCTGCGCCGACCGAAGCGAGTCAATCGCCCGGGTGATAATCGCGAGTTACAATATAATTCTTGTTATATAGTGATATTGTAGAAGAACTGTTTGTACTGCGCGATTTTCGCACGATTTCGTACAATCGAATGTATTTTATAATGCATAATTTCAGACAAGACAATATTTTTTTTTTTTTTTTTTTTAATAAGAATGAATTCCTATATAGATCACAATCGCAAAATATCAGGTCGTCTAACAATTATTCTTGATTTCGTGATAACTTTGATTTGCGACCGATATATGCAACGATATCGTACTGAAAATCGAACAATAATAACGAGCTTCAAATGCAGTATATAACGACCAGTCCAATTATTGATATAGACAAAGAGGAAATTGAAGACCGCAAGATCACGAAAGGGTCTATTGCAATTATACATGTATTTCATTCGCAGAGAAATCATGATATATATCAAAATTTTCTTTCATTAATTCTTTTCATTCGCGTAGCATTAGTATTTTTGTAAAAAATGTTTTTAATTTAGAGTAATTCGCAATTGTAGTAAATTTTATTTCAAGTATATAACTGTGTAATAGAAATGATTTTTTATTATAAGAAAAATTATCATAATATTGATTACGGTATAAATTTGTACTTGTCAGTAATAAAATTATTTTTATCGATATGAATAATGCAGATAAATTTGTTCGCATTTAGACCCTCGTAAATTCGAAATCCGACTCTTCAATTGATAATCATCTTACATTGTGTCATCAATAGATTAATCCATAAATTTATAGATTAATTATCTTGGTCGTACATTATATTCACGATTCAAATATACAAATATCTTTACACAAGTTGCGTCATAAAACGGATAAATAGATACAAAGGTTTCCATATGACGTGAATATTTAGAAATTTTCAAGTGCTGAAAAATATATTCCGATTATACAGAATATAAAAGCTTTCTCCTTAAAATGATGCTAACTTCTCCACAAACTTTCGCTTGCAAAAATGTATGGGGAATTTTAATTTTTGTTGAAAAAAAAGAGACACTTTGTTATATATTTTAATCGAGATACCCTGCAAATTTTTATCATATATAGATTTTTTTTTAAAGAAATACAATTTTTTAGGATATAAAAAGTAATTTGCTGCGTATCAAAAAATGATAGCAAAATTAATAATTAATATGCTGCATCTTTGTTTCAAAAAATCATTAAATTATTATGTAACAGGGAAAGAATATTAAAGATAAATCTGCGATAAAACGTGTTGTGCCTCAATGTCTTAATATATACAATATATTAGTGGAAGATAAATATACGTACATACGTCAAAAGCTCTATTCTAAACGGTCAATGCGGAGAAAAGATTTGATAAACGCGCTGGATGCAGACACAGACACTATTTTAGCTGCCGGTGATTCTTCGTTAAATGAATTACTGCATGTATTTTAATGAGTTCTTTGATCTTCTTCCGCGATAACCACACGTTTACCATCAACGTATGCTAACAAGTATTGATGCGCAAAACTAATCACGATATAACAATGTACTGCATAATACACTGCATAATGTCACTGATTACTGTCGCTTTCATCCAATCCGATAATATGACGTTATTGTTATCGCATCGACGCGGTGTGTGACAAAAGAGTTATTATAATTCACCTATCGAGAGACCTTTTCGTCGAAATAAAACGTCAAAGTATATCGATATTGTCATGCAATTTTTTGTTCTTTTAAAAAGGAAGGGAACACTTTCTAAAAATATCTTTTGTATTACACGTGAAGGCAAAGTGGCACTTTGTGTGCGTGTTTTCTGTGCGGAAAGCGGCCGATTTCCCACGCCGCCATCTAGCGGCGTGCGATCGGCCACCTCGCGCACAGAAAACGCGCACAAAGCCACTTTGCCTGCACTTGTAATGCAAAATAGTATGTGTATCACGTGCGGATTGACAATTGTTCACTCGTGACCAATTGTCAACTTTCCGCACTTGATACACAATATACTATTTTTTTCGATAAAAATTTTGATTTTTGTTTGATTGTAAATCAGAGAATACAAGATAATGCTTTTTTAATTTCGGATCACTTTTAATTCGCCTGTATCCAGCTTCGTAAATGATGATCGAGGATACTATCTGAATTTGATTAGACATTTTGATAAATGACGATTTTTTTTGATTATACAGTGCTACATGGTTTAAAAAGGAGACACAGTGTTAAAAGGGGGATTACTAATCATCGCCAAACATTGGAAAGGGCCCGCAATACGAGGAATGGAGCCTTCGTCGTCCCAATGTCTGCCGCGCATTATATTTTGTATTTTGATTTCGGGCTGTCAGCCATTTCTCTTGTTTTATATGTATACATCTTTATATATATATTTAGATCTTAACAGTATGAAGAACAACGAAATCCTAAAAGATACACCTCCCGTTATACGGCGCCTCGAATTAATCACTGACGCGCTAATTCACCATGCGATTAGGAATTAATCAGTTTAGTAGCCCTTTTTCCTTCTTACGCGGCTTCTTTTTACATAAATACTTATATATGAGATATAGCACTTGGAGAACATGGCACATATAACGTCGGATAGCTGATCCGATAACATCCCCTGTGTTTTGTCAATATCGAACAGCACGATATATGCATATACATATGCATATGCATGTATATAAGTGGATGTAGATACTCCGAGCGAAAGTCCCTCGGAAGGCGAGTTTTGTGCGAAAAATTTCATTTCCATATTGTTCACGGATCTTCGTATCTTCATCATGAACTGACAGAAGCGCGACTTTGACAATTCCAGAATTATCAATTAATTAATTTGTTTCCCGACCAAAATTCAAATGTTTGTAGCTTAATTTCTCTGTCGTAATCTTTTCAAATTCCACGAATCATTTAAATATTTTCGTATTTTTTTAATTAATTTAAAAATTGTGAGATTCTCATCAAGCTCCTCTATTCCATTTAGACACTTTTTCGTACAATTTCTCGAGGCTGTCTTTCGCATCAGAGTGTATATAGTAAATATATGACTTTGATGATATGTTCGTTATGCATAAAATTAATGTTAAATCAATATTCTCAATCCAAAGCATCCTTCGTTATTCAAAATATGTGTATGGGGAATGTTATATTCACTGCCATTATTGTTAAGCATACAAATTGTCACTGCATAAATCTAGCTTAAATGTCGCTGTTTGATCGCGAGTTCGATCGGTGAATCGTGTTATTCAATTAATGAGTAATTTTCTTTCCGCTCGATTCGATATATCTATTTTTAGCGCGAAAATCACGCTCCATATAAATATTCGAAAGAACCGCATTTAGTTTCTAAATGGATGTGAATATTCTATCCTAACATGTACGAACGCGTTGCATTAAAAATAAAAATGTATGTATGTATGTATGTATGTATACAGGGTGTCCCATTTTAATGTCCCACCCCAAATAAGTTTTTTGATTGTAGGTAGAAAAAAATGTTTCAGACAAAAGTTGTATGGTTTCGAGGAGGACATAAGGTGGTGCCATTAGTTTGACCTTGAATAGTTGCTTGAAGGTCATGTGAAGGTCACCTTTAGTGTTCCAAAACACAATAATAAAACATTTTTATTAACTCGAGTACTTTTTGAGTTATAAGACAAGATCTCCTCACTTCAAGGTGATCTTTACGTGACCTTCAAGCAACTATTCAAGGTCAAACTAATGGCACCACCTTATGTCCTCCTCGAAACCATACAATTTTTGTCTGAAACATTTTTTTTACAATCAAAATTAAAAAAAACTTATTTGGGATGGGATATTAAAATGGGACACCCTGTATGTGTACGTGATATTCTTGCCGTTCTGCTTCCCGCACGAAAGAAACACATTGATTCATACGACACAAATGCAATCTTGGCTTATCTCGCGATTCGTAATGGAGGCATTGCGTGGACTTTAAACAAGGAATCATTAATATTTATGGTATTTGCATACAGAGAGAGAATTGTCGATTAGCATTTAGCATCTTGTGCATATTTCTGATTATATAAAATGAGTAATCGATAAAAGTGTGAGTAACATATAAAGAAAATAAAGATAAAATATCATAAATTGATTTTCGATTAATATTTGCTTGAAAATGTATTTTTTTTTTTAATCGTTTTACTTAGTAATTTATAACTGAAATGTAAGGAAAATATTTATATTACCTATATATGAATTTGTAATTTAATCTTGACAAAAATTTAACGATAAAATAAATCCAAAAATCTGTGAATTCCAAAATTTTCATTTACGTCTAGTATGTTTAATTCATATGTTTTTCAGACTTGATTTGCTTCAAAATCTCAAGATATAAATTCGCATTTTGTATGGTTCTTTTAAAATATGAATCTGTATGTATTTTTTTTTAAATATTCTAATATTATTATATACACCAAATATACATATGATTTAAATATTGCAATAAAATTTCCACATTTAAAAGTTAACTCTGTAAATCTTAGTTTGCTTCAAGCGATAAATCATTAATTAATGTTCCTTATCATAAATGTATTTTTTTCAGCATTTCAATGCTTCGAATCGTCCGATCTTTGTCCTTGTTTGTAGGTAAAAGCTAGGAATTCAAATATCCCAATATTTTACACACTAAATATATATATATATATATATATATATATATATATATATATGATTCATTTATATATCCACAATACATATCCAAATATCTCCAATAAAATCTCCATTTAAGATTATAACCATGTAAAATCTCACCTTTCTTCAAGCGTTAAATCGTCAACCAACGTTTCTCTCATTATAAATACATCTTTTCTTAGCAGAACGTCGCTCAAATGTCTGATCTGTTTATAGATAAAGCGAGTAAATTGAATCGCGTTAGACCGACGATTACGACGATGTCTCATATTATGAGAGTCCTATACACAGCAGGAAGCAGATAATAGTGTGCTCCACATTGACGTCACTCTCACAATTTCACGCTGATCTTACACGCAGCCACACATGAACACGAGAGTTGCATACCTATGTACAAACTCACGCTCGCGTACGAATTTATATTCTTGATCTTGAACTGTTCTTAATTAATTAATGGTATACCACGTGCACGCGACACCCACTATCAATAGTAAACGTGACTAGCCTCCTTTGTGTGTGATGTACGAGCGACTATTCCGACGCGAAATCAGAAACTATAAAATCTCTCACCTCTCTCGGCTGGCTTTCTACGACTGGAAAATCTCGCGAATCCTGCTACTTGGATTTATTTCGAAAGGAAGGACTTCTAGTCTTCTCTTTCCACACAAAGTGGAGGTTTAAAAAATATTGGGTTTAATAAAACGAGTTCTTCCAGAGTCATCTCCGTGGATTCTTTGATCGCAACTTGGAACATTTCGTTATCCCCGAAGAAAAAATTTCAACGATTCAATATTTCTCTCAAATTTAATAAGAATAAATTATATGGTACAAGCTTATTTATAAAAGTGTCAATTTTATCTTTGCATCCAATGTTTCTTGCCTTCCACTTTTTTTTGCTTTCGCGACGATCAGGCTGCAAGTAGCAGCATCCTCGCAATTATAAAAATTACCTCGTGACGCAATCTTGATTTCCGTCTTCTCGTGACGTTTCTCCGACGTGACATTCGATAATGCACTTTCACGCGAAATCCAATCCCTCATTATCCTCCCATTTCTCGCTCGGATTGGGTCTAACTTACCTGCGAGAAATTGTATACGATTCGCGAGTGTTAACACAAACGGTGCAACTTGATGCTCCAGAGTTGCTCCAAGAATTCGTACGGACGAATGACGTGGACGAGAAACGGAAATATATATATATCGGGGTAAAATGAAAGAGAAATTAGGATCTACCGTACTTTCCGAACTGAAATCGTCAGTTGAAGCTGAAGCGTTCTGTTATTCACCCCCTTCACCAACGACCACGTAAAGACCCGAAGAATCTACAAGGTCATACGTGGCGAACGATGGAGGGGGTCCGGCCGCTATGCTTGGTCCACCTCGTGACAGACCTCCATGTAGTCCGGGTTGTGCATTATGTCCTTTATCATGTCCTTCAGTATCGTGTAACGCGGGAACATTGGATACACCTTCGAGCTGTTGTACTCCTCCTGCGATAGAAATCGGACCCCTTCAATCATTTCGGCGATTAATAAATTGACAGTTGTGTAAAGAAGTCTGTCTTTTAATCGAAATCATTTTTTTACCCTAAATACGTGTCACTGGAATTTAATCAATAAAATGTTTCTCGCGGAAAATATATATTATTATGTAAATTATTATATAATAATATATTATATTATATATATCGTTATATATAATATATTATTATTATATAATATATAAAAAAAATTCTTAATAACGACAGATGTATAAAGAAGTCTATTTTTAATCAAAATAATTTTTTTACCCTAAATACGTGTCACTATGTTCTTTCCGATGGGAATTTAATCAATAAAATGTTTCTCGCGGAAAATATTATATATTATTATGTAAAATTATTATATAATAATATATTATATCATTATATAATATATAAAAAAATTCTTAATAAACGACAGATGTATAAAAAAGTCTATTTTTAATCAAAATAATTTTTTTACCCTAAATACGTGTCACTATGTTCTTTCCGATGGGAATTTAATAAATAAAATGTTTCTCGTGGATAATAATATAAAAAAATTCTCAATAAACAACAGTTGTATAAAGAAGTCTACTTTTTAATCAAAATCATTTTTTACCCTACGTGTCACCGTATTCTTTTCATTTGGAATTTAATCAATAAAATGTTTCTCGCGGAAAATATTACATATTATTATGTAAAATTATTATATAATAATATATTATATTATATCATTATATAATATATTATTATTATATAATATATAAAAAAATTCTTAATAAACGACAGATGTATAAAGAAATCTATTTTTAATCAAAATAATTTTTTTTACCCTAAATACGTGTCACTATGTTCTTTCCGATGGGAATTTAATAAATAAAATGTTTCTCGCGGAAAATAATATAAAAAAATTCTCAATAAACGACAGTTATATAAAAAGTCTACTTTTTAATCGAAATCATTTTTTACCCTACGTGTCACCGTATTCTTTCCATTCGGAATTTAATTAATAAAATGTTTCTCGCGAAAAAGAAAATAAAAAAATTCTTGAATGACGATAAACTTTTTGTTGAAAGACGCGATGTAAATCGTGTTGAAACGAATTCTGGGATTTCGTGGAAATTTTGTGTTTTCCGAATTTTATTCGCGACAATTCCGATACGTTTGCGGAAACGTCACAGGGCGACGAAAGGCGGTTTGCCTCGATATTACGATACTCTCGGTCGCCTTTAATCTTCGATTTATTTGACACTGTATGAAGGCAGAGAGTAAAACGAATGGAGGATAAGCACCGCGTTGCCGTCAGAGAAGCCTTATAACAGCAGTGTTATGTAAGTTATTGGAACGTGAAAGGGAAAAAAAGGGGACGATCGTAACAATGTCCTAATATGGTAGCCGGTGTTACATTTCGCCGCCATCGAACAGTGTCACCCTTTTACGACCATAATCGCGAAATCGATAAGAGATACCTATAACACATCTGTCAAAGAAATTCGCTTTAATCGAGAATAAGATTGTCATTCAAAAAAAAAAAAAAAAAATATATTATATATATATATATATTATACATATAAAAATATATATTATATATATAAATTATATATATATTAATATTATATATATAAATAAATAATTGATATATCTATTTATATATAAATAAATATATAAATATACATTGTACATTAAAAATAAATATATATTACTTTTCTTAGAATAAATTCTAATTTAAAAACGAAACCGCGTGCTTACTAAATAACAGAATAAGTTATAAATTTTTATCGGTATTTCGTAAAGGTTTATATAATTTTGATGAAATAGTTACGTTTAGATCAGAAATTACGTCACTGTTAAAATACAAACGGGATATTGAACAACTTTAAGTTAAAATTAAGACACGTTTTCAAATATTATGCGAAGCAGTATTCTCTCTCGTGAACTGCAGTTTCTCTCAGGCAAATATTTTTGTTTACATCACGGAATCCACAAGTTAAGTTTCTTACAAAGTCTCTTACAAAGCACGTACTTTCAACTCTTTGATGAGATTCCTGAGACCCGTGTACTTCTTCAATAATCTGTACAGATCATTGGTCATCTGGGTGTTCTCCGCTTCGATTTGCGCCGTCGTCATACCTATATAAAGTATTACCTTATTTTATCCTTTTTATTCTGTTTATTATGCATGTTATCATAAATATATATTAATAAAATATTTTACATTTTCAATAAACATCAATATTGCGCGACTTCCAAAGTAAAACGCTAATAAAGTCAATTTATTTATTTAAAAACGCGCGTATGCCTTATTCATAAATCCTGATATAATACATTTTTTGATTGGAAAAATATTTTTGGTGTAAATTGTACGATATATAAAACTTCTACACGTATCGACACGACGTAAAAAAAAATTGTTGAAGTAACTTTGTACTATTAACGAGCAAACACACAAAAAAAATAACAGGTCGGATATGTTTCGTGCGATTGCACAAATGTAGTTTCCCTTGCATATTATGCATCGACGGAGCATTAATTAACGTTCAGGGAAATATTGCTCCTGCAGCAAAATGGAAATCAAGCAATGAATATGTTGATCGTTAATATGTGCATTTGTGTGCAACGCACGAAATCAAACTAAAGCACCGACAGGAGATATGTAATATTAGACAGAATATTTTAAATTCTGACTATTAATTTTCAACATTGTTGTTAAAACGCTATTCCTAGAAATTTTTATTGTACACATTGATTTTACAAGTATATATTTGCCTCACTACCTGGAATATTTTTGTTTCTACTTTTTTCATCGATATTTAAAAATGCAGGTTTTATTACCAAAAAGTAAGAAACAAAGTAAAACAAAATATAAATAAAATAAAATAATGAATATAGAGGTAGAGTATAAAAAAGAATATTATAAATAAAATAAAATGACATATGAAAAACAATGAATTTACGAACTAGGAAAATTTTCATGATTAATTAGACAAGTGAATCAATTAAATCGAGCAATTTGTCATTTTTTTTTTCATTCTAATATCTTCAACTAGAATCTGAAATTTGCTGTACAAAAGAGCTCTTTTAAGCAGATGAGAGGGCAAAGTATTGTCGGAATGAAATATTTTTAATTACGACATTTTGTCTAAGATGCGCTCGCACTTTAAATCGGGAATTCACGTTAATAAGTTCTTCTTACCTTGAATGTTTTACAAATAGGGCTATAATCGCGAACGCGCACGCAAATTGTAAAAAACAGCGGCGGTTGCATTTAGAATGCATCACGGAACACGGTAAAGAATAATTTTCGAATAATTTTCGCCGCGTATCGCGATAATGAAAAATACCATAAATCTTCCACGCTCGGAAATTATGAATTGTTGTACGAAGCATTTGTTGAATATTTATGAGAGGGTAAAAAAAAACCAGCGTAAATGAGACCAGAAAAAGGGATTAATTGCACTCTTATTTCTTCTCTCCACCTCTTTCTTTTGTGATAACTGAAAAACTTTTCATATTTTATCAATTTCAAATCTTCTTCCGAAGAATCAAGTTTTTCGAATCGCGAAAGAAATAATGCTCGTCAATTCTACTTAATCAATTTTTTTAATTAGATAATCCACGTCAGCGTCATGTGAATACCGTCAATCATTTGTTAAAGGATTATGAGATTGAGAATAAAATATGATGGTCTTGTTTCGACCTAATGGCACGATAGATCTTCGATGTCTCCCCGATCGAGTACTTATGACAGAAAATAATATATTATTCATGCTTGGAGACTTTCCAAGGGACAGCCATTGAATCGTATCTTTTCTGCTCAATTTGCGCGACGAGAGGAACAATACAGTTGTCGTTTCACGAATCAAACAAGCAATATAATTGCACAGATTTTTTTCAACAATAAAGATAACAAAGATACAATTTGTCACACTCGATGTAAAAATTAAATAAAATTAAATAACTTGAAAATTATATATAAATGATATATTTTTTATTCTCTGAGTATAGAATGAAAATAATTCATGAGTCGCGTAAAGATGATAAAATGTATACACATGTATTAATTAATTTATTGAATATAATTCACCGAGAGAATGATAAAGAGACAATAAAAGTCGCGGCAAATAAAACGAATGACATGTATACATATATATATATATATATGTACACACACAGGGTGTCCACGAATCAACGTTTGAGGGAAGGGTAGATTGCTGGGATCATTTGGAAATGATTTTTCTCAGCAAAAATATCGAGGCACCAATAATAAGCGATTGAAAACAAGTGGAGTTTACTTTAATATACAGAGAGAATTTTCTTTTAATTTTTACCCTGAAAATCATGGTAATCATGCGACAGTATGGTATTGGGAAAATTTTATAAGAGTTTCTCTGATTAAAAGTATTAATATTTACCACAATAAGATATAAAATATGTTCGATTAATTTTAAACTCTTATAAAATATATTGCCATGTTTGCGTGTAGAATTTTAATTTAAGGCTCAGTTTCATGATGGCAAAAATTGGGAACGGGCAAAAAATGATGACATTTTCGCCGAGGAAAAATCTACCCTTAAGTGTTGATTCGATTTTACTATGTACATTATGTATTTTTTTATTGTGGTAAATATTAATTAAAGAAATTCTTACAAAATTCTTCTGATATCATATTGTCCCTCGATTGCCATAATTTTCAGAATAAATTTTAATTCTAGAGAAAATTTTCTGCGTATTGAATTTTAATTTAAGGCTCAGTTAGATGATAAAAATTGGAGAAAATATAAAAAATGATGACATTTTTTTTCCCGAGAAAAATCTACTCTTAAGTGTTGATTTGATTAATTTTACTATGTACATATTAATATGTATTTTTTATTGTGATAAGTATTAATCAGAGAAATTCTTATAAAAATTCTTCCAATACCATATTGTCCCTCGATTGCCATGATTTTTCAGTATAAATTCTAAAAGAAACTTTTCTCCGTGTAGAATTTTAATTTAAGGCTCAGTTTCATGATGGCAAAAATTGGGAACGGGCAAAAAATGATAACATTTTCGCCGAGGAAAAATCTATATACCCTTAAACGTTGATCCAGAAGCGTTACAGGACACCCTATAAAAGACGATCGACGGAGGACAATGGAAAATGATTTTCTTCCTCCGAGACGAAGCCAATGTAGGCTGTCACTATTACTACTCTCAACAGGCAATTGATTACTCTCGTACTTGGAATACTCACTCTCGAGTCTCTCGATCCGCTCCCTCTTGGTCTCGGCCTCCTCGGCGAGGCGCGCCGAAGTTTTCACGCCTTCTCCGCTCTTGTGGGTCTTCTCCATGATGGAGCAGGCACGCAACACGAAGGCCGGGACGGTCTCCTGCTTCTCCTGCCTCGGTATATCCACCAGCGTCCAATACTGCGTCTCCAGCTTAATTACGTCCTGGAAAGGTAAAACCGTCGGTAGCTCTCGGGCTACCGTCGTCGCGACGCGACGGCGAGAAAAATCGAGGAAGGGAAGATAAAGAAGCGGGAGAAGGCGTTTGCGCAAGCAGGCGATTGTACAGAGGATCCTTTTATCCGCGTATATTCTGGAAAATAAATTGCCGGGCCATTTATCAGACGCGGTTTTAGGACCGCGATCGATTCCTCCGGCGCCTTTACAAAGGCGCAAAGTCATTAATCTGCATTTATATCTGTGGATTACGACTTACAAACTGTAAACATCGTTGTCTAAGAAAACCACAAGTTTCAGCTGCCTTTTAAAACCGGATTTGTACGCACTCTTACTTCAAAATTCGATTTTAATCTCTTAAGGGGATGCTGACTATGCTGACTTTGAGTTCAAGGGCTTTTCTTTTTATTGGTTATACAGATTGAAAAAATTCTTCTCCACAATTAAAGTATTGATAATAATGAACGGGGAGCGCTGTAATTTCGCATAAAAAAAACAATAAAAGTTAAAAAATTACAGTTCTTTTTATCGGCATCTTGCATCAGCTCATAACAATACTTATTTAATACAAAAGTTCCGCAGTTTATTTGTGCACAAAATATGGCGCTTCCAATAGAGATGACATGAAAGAATAATACAGAAGTAATAAAAATGAGATTAAAAGTATGTATCAAAAGATTCGTACTTGAATTAAACAAAGAAAACTTAACCTAACTTAAAGTCGGTAAAACAGAACAACGGCAACATCCTCTTAAACTGGAATCTTGGAATCATTAAAAAAATTAAGCATTCCTCTCCTTTTGAATAACCACTAAAATTTATTTGCACATTTAATAATATTTAATAAAAAATTAAATTAAGAAAGAAGAAAAAATTTGAATCATGTTTCTCCCCAGGATTTTTTAATCCTGCGAACGTCCATGCTTTCGATTGTTGGAGATTAAAATCGTCTCGTATTAAGAGAGCAATCTCGCGCTATTTATTAATTCCACAGCTAATTTCAATAACGCCGACAAGTTGTTTACCGCATTGCGAATCCCTTACGGCGATATCTGCTTATTACAAGCGTTTCCACCCGCGTTTGCTTCCCTTACATCTTCCGACAAAGCGTTCGAAATGCGTTTCGAAAATTATATGTACATCGATTATCGATGGGACACACGCGCACGGCGCGATTTACGGAGAACAATTTTATTTCGCATCGCCTGAGGATTAAATCCCAGGGGTTGATTTTTCTGCGACAAAAAAATATATATATATATACTCGACGCTCTCGAACGATTGCGTCTCTCGCAACGCAAGTTTACACATCCGCTCAGAAATAAACGTTCGATATTCGCGCGTATACATCCGACGTTATGTATGCATCTCCCTCCCGAGAAAAAAATAAAGTAAAAAGAAAAAAAAGGTGCGGCTATAACGCGTCTTTCGCGCCGACATATCCGGGTATCTCTCGCATGCATCTTTATTTGTTGCTCGTCTCGCGCGATCTATCTCTCCCGGAATAATAAGCGCACGTATCTCGAAAAATAAATAATAAAAGTAATAAAAAAAAAAAAAAAAAGAGGAACGGCCTCGACGTTTTTTCGAATTCTTCCCTTGTCCGACGGTTTATGCTGTTGCAGCTGAACTTTCGTGCCGATTTACACATGGATCGAGCCTGGATATTTTGCGCTCTACGTGTTGACTATTTGCTGACAAAATATACACTGACAGTACACACACATACATCTGTCACTTTGTTCTCTCGTTCGCGCCCCGTTTCTTTATTTCTTTCCCTTTTTCTAAATCATTTTTCAGTAAGTCCCACGATCGGTTTATTTACGCGTTTTTTTTTTTGAAAAATTGTGAAAACAAAATAAATAAAATATGGTTTATTAATGCTTTGTTTTTGAATTATTACTCGGCTCTTTTTGTCCATCTTATCCCGGTAAAAAATTGATAAATATACACAGAGACAATTTTCTCTTAGAATTTATCCTAAAAATCATAACCGTGAGATAATATTTTATAAGAGTTTTTTCTGTTTAATATTTATCATACAAAAAATATTAATATCTTAATATCTACCACAATAAAATATAAAATATGGTACAATTAATTTTACTACGTACATATTAATATTTTTCAGGGTAAATTCTAAGAGAAAATTCTCTGTGTGTATGTTCACGATAGCAAGATTTATATTAATTTTTATACACTAATATTAATCATCATTTATAAAGATCAAATGCAACATTAATTTAAAAGAATAAAAATAAGAAATATATATTCGACAATATAGGTATTATAATACGTCAGGGATATAAAGCCAATTATCAACTTCTTAAAAAGCTTATTACATAAATTTGCATCAACGTTACAAGCTAATTATTAATTTCTTCAGAATTTCTTAACCGAGAAAGTCGGAGAGTAGCGAGCGACTCGATCGGACGGGAGTTTTAAAGCGCGAGGAAGTGCAAGTTCTCTGTCATTCATCCCCCGTTTTACTGGGGGCGGCATAATTACGTATAATTACATCAACGGAAAGCGGCGGTCTGGAACTGACGCGTGTCGAGCACAAAGTGCTCAAAGTGGGCCAAAAACGACACGCGCGCGTGTGCTACGAGCCAATTACAGCGGCATATACGCACCCGGTATACACCTCGTCTTACCTTGATCATAACTTTGAGGAGATTGTAACGCTGGAACACGTTGCGGACTTGCTTGCTATCCGTGTACTTGCACATCAGTTCGACGAGGGCTCTCTTGGCGGTGTCGTAGCTGCCGTCCAGACGTATCCTGACGACTCTCAGCCTCTCGTTCGTCTCGATCACCTCCTCCTTCGTTTGTCCACCTATGCGTGTCCGTGAAGAGAGAGAGAAACGATGATGCGAAAGAATTTGCAGGGTGTTCAGCAGACTTAATGAAAAAAATTCCCTGACTTTTTCGGATTTCTCAAGACCAGAAATTCATTTTTTCCCTTTTAGTATTATTTAGTATTATTTAGACTTATTTAGACGATGTATACTAATCAAATAAAAAAAGTGATGTGTGGGCTAAAGAAAAATATTAATTTGTCTTTGTTGTAAGTTAAATACAAATATTATTTCTCTTCATACATGTCAAAAATAAATTTAGAGATTTTTATTTATCGCACACATAATTATATTAAATATAGTTGGAATAACAGGGTGTTCAGCAGACTCAATGACAAAAATTCCCTGACTTCTTCAAATTTTCCAAAACCAGAAATTAATTTTTTCCCTGACTTTTTAGTATTATTTTTTTCCAAATATATAATTTGCATATATCTATATGATAAATCAATTAAATGTTAAATCATGAAATCCTTGAAATATTTTTGCCAATAATGAAAAGATTCGGAAGTTAAAAAAAAAAAAAAAAATTTAAATCAATTACAATCTGCATTATGTACAATAATCGAAACAAACGTGTCACTATACACTATTTAAATGATCATCTTTTTTATTTATATCAAATTTTATTTTTTTTTATATTTTAACGAATTATAATACATATATTTTAATATATTTAATGATATCTAATATCACAACAAATTTTTAAAATAAAATATTTTTAATAAAATTGCAAGTTATTAGGAACGACCCAACTGTCAAAATTGTTTTGACAGTTGAGTCGATCATAATAAATCTTGCAATTTTATTTCACCGTCGACACAAAAATTATTCTATTATTTAAATTTTTAATAAAATTAATGTATTAATTTTTAATAAAAAAATGAATTAAAATAAAATTCTTGAACAATATTATAATTCTTGAGCAATGTTATAATATATTTTAAATATATAATACATTGAAATAAAATAACATGACGATGAAAATATAAATTAACGAACACGCTGTAGATGAATGAATTTAACAACACAGAAAATTAGCATAATGAAAATCAAGGAAAAGTTTATATTTATTTAATAAAAAATTTCAAATTATTGAGACAGATAAATGTGAAAAATCCATAAATAGTAAAATTTCCTGACTTTTCACTGACAATTCCAGATTTATAAAATTCCCTGACAATGAAAATTCCCGAATTTTCCAAATTTCCCTGATCGCTGGACACCCTGTTTTATACGGTTTTTTTTTTTTTTTTTTTTAACGAATGGTCGATTTTTTTTATCGTATCGCGCGTGTCGATCGTTGGGATTTAACGGGATCGTTTATAAATCGAACGCGATAGTAAGCAAGCGCCCGAATGTCGCGCTTTAATTAATTCCCAATTAACTCGACACCGCGCGATAGCGACGAAAGTTTCGACATAAATAAATCGAGCGCGACAAGCGACGCGATAAGCAACTCCAGTTTCCGCCTGCAGTTTCATCGAGCGCGTCCGAATTTCCACTTCAAAAAGTTCCAACTCCAGAAAAGCACGAAACACTTTAAGTTACATGAGGTATATCGATATAAAAGAGAAATTGTAAAAGAAATTTATGCTATTTGGTTACTATTGAATTTAGAATTTTTTTACACAAGTTATTTATTAATATTTTTTGATAAAATTTTAATATATTACATATCAGCATAATATAATATATTAATGCATAGAGAGAATTATTTTTAGAATTTATCCTAAAAATTATGATAATCGTGGGACAATGTGATATTGGAAGAATTTTATAAAAGTTTCTCTGATTAAATATTTACCATGCACAATGAAAAATATTAATGTCTACCGCAATAAGATATAAAATATGTTCGATCAATTCTACTATGTACGTAGTAAAATTTACTCTATGTTAATATTTCTTATTGTATAGTAAATATTTCATCAGAGAAACTCTTGTAAAATTCTTCTAATACCATACCACGATTACTATGATTTTCAGGGTAAATTTTAAGAGAAAATTCTCTCCGTCTACCTATAAAAAATATATTATAATATATTATATATTAATATAATATAATGTATTATATATTATATAGAATTATTATTAAATATAATATTAATATTAATATATTATATTATATATTATATATTAATATATTATGTAATAATATTTTATTAATATTAATATATTATATTATATATTATATATTAATATATTATGTAATAATATATTAAATATTAATATTATTACATAATATTTTTTTCGACTAATAACAGAATTTTATTCGATACTTTTGCGAGAGATAATCGATTGGAAATTCGTTAGTTGGTCGAAAGTTCGTCGGGCAAAATCGAGGACGCATGGTGAATCGAGCAACACATTCCTGTACACGTGTCATTATCGTACGTTAGGAATTTATCTGATCGCCGCATTTCACCGGCAACGGCGCGAGCATGTTGACGTCGGAATTAATCATAGTTCCGCGCTCGTTGATGGGAAAGCGTTAATCCGAACGTGACGGAATTCTCCATCGATGGCGGAGCTTCCGTCCTTTTAGGTATAATATAGCGGCCGCCGACACATGCCGTTACTCTCGGCCCGAACTGAATACAAGAGTTTCCGCTTCGATTCCATTCATGGGACAACTATAACAACCGTCCGCTGTTGGCGAACTGCCAGACGTTTATTTCCAACCGATACGTATGAACGTCTTCATTCCTCGGTTCACCGAGGAGTTGTTGCACTTGGAAAGAGACTCGCGGAATTTCATTCTTCTCGGATTCAAAATTTAAAGAGAAATTTGAAATTTAAGTTTGCTCACCCTCTCTTTAAATTCGTCTTAATTATAAATTGGATGTAAATATTGGAAAGTCTTACGAACTTTCTCTTCGCAAATTTATCTTTCTTTCTACTTTTTCGAAAAGTTATTCTATTAATTGACTCTTTTCCTTTAGATTATCGAGGAAGATCGTGTCGATAATGCAAATAAAATTTTACTAATCAATTGTGTGAAAATATCTTCAAGATTAAAAGCAAATATAAGCTGAGATTTCGCAATCTTTCCTAGCATATAAAATAATCTTTAAAAATGTATCTTTCTCTTTAAACTTTTTCTTAAAAATTATTCTATTAATAATTTCTTTTTTTTTTTAGATTATCGAGAAGGATTGTATCAATAATTCAAATAAAATTTTACCAATCAGCTGTACGTAAAAATATTTTTAAGGTAAAAGTAGATATAAGATAGGATTTCGCAGTCCTTCCTAGCATATAAAATTATCTTTAAAAATGTATCTTTCTTTAAACTTTTTCTTAAAAATTATTCTATTAATAATTTCTTTTTTTTTTAGATTATCGAGGAGGATTGTATCGATAATTCAAATAAAATTTTACTAATCAGCTGTACGTAAAAATATTTTTAAGGTAAAAGTAGATATAAGATAGGATTTCGCAGTCCTTCCTAGCATATAAAATTATCTTTATAAATTTATGTTTCTTTAAACTTTTTCGAACGATTATTCCAACAGATTCTTTTCTTATTGTTAGATGATCGAGGAAGACCATAAATACGGTATCGATGAAAATAAAATTTCACTAATCAACTGTATGAAAATATTTCAAAGATAAAAGCAAATATAAGCTGGGATTTCGCAGTCTTTCCTAGCGTACAAAATTATCAAGTAACAACGATTAGCCAAGTTAGCGGCTAAAGTTTAATTAAACTCCTACGCGGAACGAGTACGATAAAATATACATATATATATATACATAGGGTATTTCAGAACTGACGGAAAAGTTTTTAATGACAGATTTCTGGTATCATTCGAAGACAATTTTTCCTCAACGAAAACATCGAGACACCAATAATTTTCGAATTATAAGCAGTTGAAAATAAAGGCTTTTTTAGAAACTAAACCTCGTGGAAATAAAATATGAACAGAACTACATTCTTCAGTTAATTTTAGGTAGAGTTTGCTTTAATAGAATTTTATTATAAGGCTTACACCGTAAAAAAATATGTAACATTACATAAATAATAAATTTTTATTATTTATCATGTAATTTTACATTTATTATTTATGTAATTTTACATATTTTTTACAGTGTAGTTATAGAGATACGCAATAGCAAAAATAGGGAATATGTTAAAAATAATGGTCTCCCTCAACATTTTCACGAGGGAAAAATCGTCTGCAAAAGACACCAGAAATGCCATTAAAAACCTTTTCCCGCCATTTCTGGGACACCCTGTATAATGCTCAGACTTACTGGAAGTGCCTTCATCCTTCACGTCCTGGACGATCCTTCGGACGCTCTGCGTGAATTTGCCAACGAGATTGGTGCTGGCTGAAACACACAACAATGCTCGATTAGAATCACTGGTACCCACATACATACCATATATACGACGGATGTAACATCTTGCAATTTTGAATTAAACAGAATCGCTCGAACGACGAACGAGGACATTACAAAGTCAAATTCGCAAAGGGGAGCTTTTCTTTCGATCGTCGATGGGATAAAGACGCCCGGGAATAATGGATGAGATTCATACACCGCGAAGATGAGATTCCTACAAGAGGTGGAAGTCGCTCTCTGCCACCCACTCGGGAGTGGGTGGACTCGGCAAACGTCACTCGTCGCATCCGGAAAGTGGATGACTTGACGAGGAAAACCAACATCGCCCGCCTCCGTGTCGGGCCCGACATAAAGTGCGGCGGTGCAGAAGAGCGGGTTAAAGCTCCTTACTCGTAAAACACGGGATTGTTCTTAAAGCAGCCGTCGAAGCGGGCTTTTAAAGCGATCGAGCCCGCCCCCGAGTTTGAAGTTCAACGCGGCCAGGGTTCAACCGTCGAGGGTGCACACAACCCCAGTTATATCCATATATATACATATATATATATATGTATATATGTATAACAAGGGTTCTCTCTCCGCGATTTGTTTTAGGAAGAGAAAAAAGTGCAGCCTCGCGAGGAATCGTAAAAGGCAAAATAAAAGCCGGTTTTCGTCGTCCTTCGGTGGATCAGGGATACGGGATTCTCTCTTAGTCCGTAATGGATCGCTTGATCATGTTTTATCCTTTCAAGCCGACCGGCTTAATCTCTCCCGAACGAGGAACCTAACTACTGCGCGACCTGTAATTTCCGAATAAAGCTCGACTGATTAAACGCCAGACTATACCGTGTCCATATTTACGTCGGATTGCATTACAGGTACTTCGGCCGCTTTTATTTTCCGCCACTGGATCCCGAAAGGGAAGAAGCAGGCGAGCTCGTTAATTAAATTCAAACAAGCTTATTCTATTATTTCTTGGAGATTTTTAGGTAAATAAATTATCCTTTTATTTATTTGCATCTCTACACTTTTTAAATATGCAGGGTGTCCCAGAACTGGGAAAGTTTTAATGCCAGATTCCTGGTATCATTCGAAGACGATTTGTCCTTAGTGAACATTTTTAGTTGAGGGAGGCCATCAATTTTAGCATGTTCCTAATTTTTGTTATTATGCATCTTTATAACTAAATCTTATATTAAAATTCTATTAAAGCAAACTCTTAAAATAATCAAAAAATGTAGTTCTGTTAATATTTTATCGTTAATTAAATTCAAACAAGCTTATTCTATTATTTCTTGGAGATTTTTAGGTAAATAAATTATCCTTTTATTTCTTTGCAGCTCTACACTTTTTAAATATGCAGGGTGTCCCAGAACTGGGAAAGTTTTAATGCCAGATTCCTGGTATCATTCGAAGACGATTTGTCCTTAGTGAACATTTTTAGTTGAGGGAGGCCATCAATTTTAGCATGTTCCTAATTTTTGTTATTATGCATCTTTATAACTAAATCTTATATTAAAATTCTATTAAAGCAAACTCTTAAAATTAATCAAAAAATGTAGTTCTGTTAATATTTTATCGTTAATTAAATTCAAACTAGCTTATTCTATTATTTCTTGGAGATTTTTAGGTAAATAAATTATCCTTTTATTTCTTTGCATCTCTACACTTTTTAAATATGCAGGGTGTCCCAGAACTGGGAAAGTTTTAATGCCAGATTCCTGGTATCATTCGAAGACGATTTGTCCTTAGTGAACATTTTTAGTTGAGGGAGGCCATCAATTTTAGCATGTTCCTAATTTTTGTTATTATGCATCTTTATAACTAAATCTTATATTAAAATTCTATTAAAGCAAACTCTTAAAATTAATCAAAAAATGTAGTTCTGTTAATATTTTATCGTTAATTAAATTCAAACTAGCTTATTCTATTATTTCTTGGAGATTTTTAGGTAAATAAATTATCCTTTTATTTCTTTGCATCTCTACACTTTTTAAATATGCAGGGTGTCCCAGAATTGGGAAAGTTTTAATGCCAGATTCCTGGTATCATTCGAAGACGATTTGTCCTTAGTGAACATTTTTAGTTGAGGGAGGCCATCAATTTTAGCATGTTCCTAATTTTTGTTATTATGCATCTTTATAACTAAATCTTATATTAAAATTCTATTAAAGCAAACTCTTAAAATTAATCAAAAAATGTAGTTCTGTTAATATTTTATCGTTAATTAAATTCAAACTAGCTTATTCTATTATTTCTTGGAGATTTTTAGGTAAATAAATTATCCTTTTATTTCTTTGCATCTCTACACTTTTTAAATATGCAGGGTGTCCCAGAATGGAAAAGTTTTAATGCCAGATTCCTGGTATCATTCAAGACGATTTGTCCTTAGTGAACATTTTTAGTTGAGGGAGGCCATCAATTTTAGCATGTTCCTAATTTTTGTTATTATGCATCTTTATAACTAAATCTTATATTAAAATTCTATTAAAGCAAACTCTTAAAATTAATCGAAAAATATAGTTCTGTTAATATTTTATGTCCAAGGCTTAGTTTTCAAAAAAGTCTTTATCTTCAACCGCTCGAAAATTATTGGTGTCTCGACATTTTTGCTGAAAAATCTGCAATTAAAAACTTTCCCGCCAATTCTGGGACACCCCGTATATATATGTTGGAAGAGGAGAATTTCAAAAACTTGAAATGCTCGCGGCATTACGTGTAGAACAACTTGATTATCGCATCTGAGGGATAATTTACGCATTTAACATTTTGTTGCGAGTAACGCGAGAATGTATTCTACAAAGTTCTCTGCACTGTCTTCCGCAACATTTGCCTCGCGGAGAGGTTGGCTTCCTTCTCTCTGTGTTGCTCTGATTATATTTCGTCTTCGCGCCGAGGAACCGTTTCATAAGTTGTCAACCGCGGTGAACGTAAACGTGATAATGCTACGTGATTCTCGCAACAGAGATTTCCTCGCGGTATAAAACGCATGAAACGCCCCGCAATTCTCCTTTACGGTTTGTAAGTCGTTACAAAGTCAAAGCTTCTCCGCACACGTCCTGTATTTCTTGCTCGAGTATACATCATCATCATCGTCGCGCGAAAAGTTCATTGCAGCGAAACAGAGAGTCGCGTTTCAGTAAAAAAAAAAAAAAAAAAAAAAAATTATCTTCATCTACGGTTCTTCCTTTGATTAATTCTCGAGGACGGTTTCTCTCCTCGACGGAAATTTAATTAACCGTGTCATCTGGGGGAAAAAAAATTATTATCACGTCAAATAAAAACAAAATGATTATTTTTATTTCAAAAACGCTAATCATTTATCGCATCTATATTTTATCTCCGAGAAATGAGATGCTCGTGTATGAAAAAAGATGCGACACGATTTTTCACCGAAAGGGGACACAAAAGCTCTGAGCTTTTCACAACATCCGTTGTATTCGTTAATGGAGAATTGCCCGTTTGAGCTTGGCCAAGTGCCAGTTTGTGTGTAAGACATCTTATACGTCTGTATTATAATCCTCTTTTTTACGACGAAGAGTTCGGTGAACGAGAAACGCTAAATAGACCTGGTTTTAATACTGACGCTTCGACATAATTTTTTTTTTTTACGGCGGGAAGATTATTCTCGGTATATAAGAGGAGAAATAAATTATTCTCCGTATTCCTCACTTAACCGTACGATTATTATGCCTTGGTAATTTCATTTACAACATAACAGATCACTTCATATTAAAAGTACTTCATTTTTGTCATAATAATGTCTGCAAGAAATCTCTTTCTAAATTTTACAACTTCATAAAGTAAATGGAATAAATTGATTAAACATTAGATAGAATCTTCTAATACAAAATAAGGGGAAAAATTATAAATATGTCAGAATAAATAAGTAAATAATTTTTTTAATCAGAATGCACATATATCTTGATATTGTCAAGAGATAATAATTCTCTTTCCTTTTATGAGCTTCTAAATTCACGCAGTCTCGATGGCAATAACTAATAACAGATCACTTCGTATTAAAAATACTTTATCTTTATCATGTCCGTAAGAAATTTATTTCTAAATTATACAACTTCGTAAAGTAAATGGAATAAATTAATTAAACATTATATAGACTCTTCTTATACAAAATAAGGGGAAAAATGATAAATATGTCAGAATAAATAAATAAATAATTTTTTTAATCAAAATGTACATCTTGATATTGTCGAGAGATAATAATTCTCTGTCCTTTTATGAGCCTTTAAATTCACGCAATCTCGATGGGAAGGATGATAGCAAGAAACGCAATTTGCCTCGGCAGTCAATTACGCGAATGAAGAACGTTCTCATTTTCGTTTGCATTTAACTGCGATGGTTTTTGGTCGTGCATTCGCGGCATCATCGTCCGCCGACAAAAGGGCGTTATCTGGTCTCGTTAAGATAATATGATTTGCGCGTCGCCAAGAAGAAGCTGGCCAGCTGCCAACTTCTGTAAAACGCACCATCTTGCCCTCTCACAATCCTCCGAATTACTTGGTAATTATATTTCGTCGACTCGCGGGACTTTAGTAGATTCGAGTGCAGTTTTCAGATAAAATCTTCAAAGTACATATTTAGCGCCCGTTCCTTTCTTTTGTTAAATAAAATTATGTTTTTTATACAAAAATATTTTTTTAATTCTTCCGATCTATTAATATTTAATTTTCTAAATTTTCACAAAGCTCTCTAATCGTCGAGTTCGGCCAAGTGCATCCCTGCACACTCGCTTCGCGAAAGTGTTATAGTCCGCAGTAGTAAAGATACGTTTATGATCCGCCATCGCGCGTCTAAATGCAATCCGCGTAGTTCCGGATGAATATAAAAGGGAAACGTGAATCTTGCTCGAATGCACTCCGGTTAATTTTGGTATATCCTATATACACAGAGAGTATCGTATAGAGAAATCTGCAATTATAATTTCGGTAATAAAGATATACGTCGTAAAATCGCGAAATACATACATATACAGGGTGTAACTAAATAAA